AAACGTGTGTAAAATTGTAGTATATTGTTTGATTACACAGAATTCGAACGCCGCTGTTTTAAGCGAAAATAGACACAAAATTGAACTGAAATTCAACATGTGACACCTTAAATCCAATCGTTTCTGTCACGTTGATGCATTCGGCGACTCATTTGGGACATTGACATTACCCATCGTAATACTCGTTTTAAATACCTGTTGTCAATAATTTTCTACTGCAATATCACCTTGTATGCACATACGTGACAGACGTGAGCAATATATTGAACAATTTTAAAATAACCATATATATATATATATATATATATAGAAACGTAATAGAAAAGTAATTTTGTTCCGAATTGACCTTTTATTTGAATATATACGTCGGCCTTAAGAAAACTGTGATCAGATATTGTTTCAAGCTGAATAATTTATTACACATGCCTACCACGTGAGCGTGTTTGTTTTGGGGGATTTTGACAAAACTGTTCGTTAATAATGTTTAATTGTTTGGTGTAAAATAGAACATTTCATGATTATATTTGTAGTGCAGATGTGATAATATAAAATTGTATTCCTGAAATATAAATGCGTGGATATGTTAGCATTTCACTAACGAATGCAACGACACGGTTGCTGGCAAGCCGTGAATAGATTGTGACTAATTGGTCTGACTAATACTAGGGCAGCAGGTAGGCATGATAAACAAAATAACTCTACACCATTCCTTGTTTCGATATATTTTTACTGAAATTATATTCTTCAACACGTTTAAAAGCCGCATTTTTTCAAAGCTTTACATTTGGGTTTTACTTGTGGAACTTGTCTGTTTCGGTCAATGATTGTATTATATTTGTTAAACGTTTTTTTGTTAATCGGCGTCGTCTTAGAAAAGATTTGCCTATTGATGCACTGACTTAACATGCATTATGTGCTCACACCTTCCGATTCTGTGTCTGAGCAACTTTATTTTATTCACGTCGACCTCGTTAACTCGACGATGTGTAAGTCAGTCGATACACTCATATGTTCTAACAGTATATGAATGACATTTTATTGCGAAGATCGATTGTTTTTGACCCAAAAAACTGACATACATTTATCATTTTAGTTGTGAAATATTTCAAATATAACTTAGTTGAAATCCCTTTGAATTGTGAGTAATTTGCCAAAAATCAAATCTACAATTTACGGCTTTCGCGAGTTACTCATATTGTGCCGTTTATCGACGAAGTTGTTTATTGTCTTCACTACAATAAATCCTGTCGTGCAATTTTGTTCGTATTCCGCGCCAGGTACGCGCTAAACCCAATTAACCTGGGAAATGCAGAAAAATTACTTACCTGGGCAACAGTATCATCCAATGCAGCCACCGGAAGTACAATGTTCAGAGTATTCGCCACAATCTCTATTTCTTCGAGTGTATACGCTGGGCCGTGCACGTCCGTAATGGCCTTCAAATCGCCAAGCATTGTCTCCTGTAAGACTACGACGTTCGACTCACCATCTGTTAGGACCTGGCCAAACTGAGAGAATGGATAAAAACATACATAACTGAGACGTAATACTAGTATTTAACTGTTTAACTGGTTGTTTTAACTGGTTGTTTCAGTGTACACGATAAGTGAAGTGGGCGGAGTGACGGGGCATATTAGAGCTGACGGTGGCAAGGTCAGTAACGAAACGAAAAACAGAGAACAACCTGTTTGCATGGAGAGGGACACATTATCCCAAACACCAAACAAGCGGCAGATAACCCCAAATGAAGTTTTATATTTATCTTCGGATGAGGGTAATCTAGGACAGACTTTTTTTGTATTTCGGGAACGTGTTTAGGAAAAAATAAAGAATAAAATAGAAAAGTGTCAAAAGTGTTGACCATGTCAGCTGACATGTACGCGGCCAGGCTGCGAGGCCAAGCGGATACCGCCATCTTTGATTATGTTCAGAAGAGCCTTGTGTTTCCATTCATGTGAACCATCCGTATTTTACACGGGCACATTAAAGATTGTTTCTGACTACTCAAACTACAGATAAATCACAACCGTATTTTAGATCAACGAATG